TTAGAAAGGCTAAAAGAGAAAAAATTTACACATGACTATTTTCTAAAGCATTTATCATAGACCAGCAAGATCAAATTTCATCTTAGAAATATTAACTTGTTATATGTATTCTTTCTTAAATCTTAATCCAAATAATGTAATCTATAACTAAAATTTTAAACAAGAGAATGCTGCCAAAGAAATAAAAATTTATAAGTGGTAACTACCTTCCAAAAAGCATGAACTTAAAAAAAAAATTAAGTTAATAAGCCAGAATGTAAATGTTTTCATCAAAATAAAAATAAAGTACTAACTGCATATTTGAAAACAGAAGCATACAACAAAACATAAGATTAAAAACAACAATTTTAAAGAATGATTCTATCTTGAAACTGAAATGCAGGAATAGAAAGCATATAGTTACATATAAATTTCAAAAGAAATCTTAATTTCCAAGCAGTACAAATGTTTCCCTAAAATGAAACTCCCCTTTAAAAGGCAAGCAATATATAAACTTACTTTCACTCACCTATTTTTATTTCTCACTTATAGTACCTCTGCCTCTAATTTCTATACAATAAGAAATTCTTACTTTCAGAGTATCTTATCAACATCCATAAACTAACTCCAAGGTCTAATGATTTAAAAATACTTACTAAAGTCTTCNGGGAATGGAGTCGATGGAATTGTAATAGATAAGTGTGATATCAGAGGTGGGAGGGCAGTAGATGGGGGAGGAGGGTTGTTACTTTGTGAGAGTGAAAAGGATAACTATTGCATTGTTCTGTACACCAGAAACTAACAATAAAATTAAAAAATAAAATAAAGTAGTACAAAGTAAAAAAATAAAATAAAAATAGCTCAAGCATCATTAGTACCTAAAAAAAAAGAAAAAGAAACCATCCTATTTAAGCCATTGTTATTTTGCCATTTTTAAATCATGTCACAAGCAGCTGAACTCATATCCTAAATAAAAGATTTAGGGATAGTGAGCTTTATCCTATAGCTTCTCTTTCCCCTTAATTACATATCTTTATTTTGTTTTATATGCTTACTCTAGATTTTATCAACCATCTGATAGACCATATCATAAAAGCAAAGCCATAAAAGTAACAGCAGTGGCTGTATAATCATACTCCTGAGAGAAGCACTTCCTATAAACCTCCCCTACCTGAAATCAACAAATCATCAGAACCAAAGCAAAAATGGTATTAGAAACTGTACATATAGAGGCACTGAAGCCACTAGCGTATTTTGTCATAATATTGTTGGTAGTGTCAGGGAGGTGGTAGCAAAAGATAATAGAAATATTTTTTTCTGGACAATAGACTTATACTACATTCCTGATATTTGTGACATGATTTTAGGTAAGAAATCCTACCCTATACTCAAATATCTGAAAGAAAAACAACAGTATAAATAGGAGAATGGTAAGACTAGAAAAACATAATACCACCCCCAAAATAATGCCCCCTTTAAATGTGTGTATACACACACATGCACGCACATATATGCCTCTTAGGGCAAGGGAAGATCCACACCTCCTTTCTAATTTTGGTGGAGTAGGACAAAATAACCTAGTATCAGAGGTCTAAATAATCTGAAATGTATTTTACATACTTCCTTATCTGTTAAACCATTTTTAGCTATGGGCATGATCAATTGTTGTAGCAGTAAGCGACCATCTTGCCCATAAGCATATGGCTGATGCTTTTCTCGAATGTCCTCGCCCTGCTGGGCAAAAGCTGGTCCATACCGTTTTCCCCACATAGAAATCAATCTAGTCTTTCTGAAAGGAGACTTGTTATATAGAGTTGAAGAGGAACTCTATGTGACGCTGTTTCCTTTTGTACTTCCTCCTTCTCTCCTAGGACATAGCTGACTGGGACAGAAGTTGGCATCAAACCTAGCCAACCCATATATTGGCTGACCAATCTACAATGTGACCAGTGCCATTAATTAGCTGTGTCAATCAGATTCTTTCTCACTTAGAAATCTAAACTCAGAGAATGAAGCAATGGTAGCAGGAGCTAAAGCTAAGAGGTTAATGAGCCATATGAGGCCCACAATGGGCCTTATAAAAACCAAAGATAGGGCCGGCTGAGTGGCTCAGTTGGTTAAGAGCTCGCTCAAAGGTTTGAGCTCTGAGCAACAGCGGTTCGAGTCTGGCCCGAGCTGAGCTGCCACTGAGCTGCCAACAGGTGGCAGGATGGCTCAGCTAAAAAAATAATAATAATAATAAATAAAAAACAAAGATAGCAAAGGGGAAAACTATGAGTAAGGATAGCTGTGAGGCAGAGAAGAGATGTAATGGAAGAAGGGAGAGGAGACCACAAACTCTGTTGAATTTCCTACAACAGTATCATTTCTAGAACCTTCTTCTAGTTCACTTTCTTCTTGAGGCCTGGTGGGTTTGAGTTGGTGGGTTCCTAAGCTCTTATATCCTTAAAATAAACTCTTTGCTACTTGAGATAACTTCGGGCAGAGTANCGCAATGATGGTGCCAACTTGGGCCAGTGAAGCAACGTCCTCCACAACTAGACTGAAGAACAAAAGGACAGCAACTTTTCTGTTCCCCTCCCCCGATTCCCCAATAAAATCTTAAAAAAAAAGAAAAAAATATATATATTCCATATGTTCAAGGAGGTAGAGGAATGCATCATCAGAGGCGAGAAATTAAAGATATCTATATATTTTTTGTATTTATTTTTCAGAGTTGACATTCAATATTATTTGATATTAGTTTCAGGTGTATAGCATAGTGGTTAGACATTTATATAACTTACAAAGTGATCCCTCTGATAAATCTAGTACCCACCTAGCACCATATGTTTATTGACTATAATTATTGACTATATTCCCTATGCTGTACTTTATATCCCCATGACTATTTTATAACTACCATTTGTACTTCTTTCTTTCTTCACCATTTCATCCAGTCCCCCACCTCCTCCTAGAAATATATATATTTTAAAAAGACACAAATTGAACTGAATTTCTGTAGACAGAAAATATGTCAAATGAGAAATGAGATTAGACATTGAAAAAGAAAAAAATGACTAAACTTGAAAATAGCAGACACTAACCAAAATGAATCAGAGAAAAAGACTGCGAAAAAAATGAACAAAGCATCAGTGAACTGGAAAAACATCAAGAAGTCTAACATATATGTGATCAGAGTCTCAATGGAGAGGAGAAAGAAGGGGAAACATAAAAATATTTTAAGAAATATTGGCTGAAAATGGTCCAAATTTGATGAAAACTTTAAACTGACATATCCAAGATTCAGAAGAAACATCAAAAAACAAAACAAAAAAACCCAAAGAATATCATAATCAAATTACTAATACTGTTAATCAAATAATTGAGAAAACGTGACAGGTAGCTAGGGGATAAAAGACATATTATGTACAGAGTAACAATGATAGAATAGCAGACTTCTTGTCAGAAATGACACAAGCCCAATGCAGTGCAGTGACATCTTTTAAAGTACTAAAAGCAACAAAAAACCCCCCCAAACCTAGAATCCTATACCCAGCAAAAATAACTTTCAAAAACAAAGGTAAAAAAGATTTTTTTCAAACATAACAAAAGCTGAGACCAACAGACCAGCATTTTAAGAAATTTTGAAAGGAAATAGAAGGAAAATATTAGATGGAAATTTGGATCTACATAAAGAAATGTAGAACAACAAAAATGGTAAATGTGTGGACAAACATAAGACTGTTTAAATCTCTTTAAAAGGTAATTTAATGTTTAAAGCAAAATTGATAACAATGTACAGTAAAACCTTGGATTGCAAGTAATGTGGTTTGCAAGTGTTCTGCAAGATGAGCAAACATTTCTAATACTACCAATTTTAAGTTGGTAAATGAGCAATGTCTTGCAATACGAGTAGTTTGTTTCCAAAACAAATTATGCTCGCAAACCAAGGTATTACTTACTGTATTATGAAGTTTATAACATGTAGAACTAAAAGTTATGGCACAAAGGTAGGGGAGAGCACATATAAGTGTACTTACTATACATGAAATTTATTATTTGAAGGTAGACTATGATAATTAAAATATGTATGCCATAAAACCTAGAGCAACCTCTACTTAAAAGATCTACCAATAAAAGAGATGAATGGGAAAGGGAGCAGTTGGAGGCTGGGATGGGAAGAAGCAGCAGAGAGTAAATCTTCCTATATACTACACAAATATCTAAGGAACACTCCCCCCACCACCCAAATAAGGAAATGAAAAGAAAATGTTGCTTTTTCCTAAATCAAACTCCATTCTAATAAAACTATTTATGCATCTTGCACAATTATGAATGTTGACTAACCTACTATATTTTATCCCAATAGAGATTTCTGGTAATCTGGATTACCAGAAAAAAAAGAGAGGAAAGAAAGTTTTGCAAGAGTAGACTTTTGTAAATTTTTAGTGTTGTAACAGGAAAAAGAACAGAAAATGGTTGGGTGATTATGTGCCAATAGGAAGCCACTGTGAGCTTAGAAAATTGTCTATGAATTCTTACCAGGTGAGGGCAACACAGTACCATTATCCTCATATAAAAAAGGATCATTTCATGCCCCTATTAGTGTGAAGAATACAGGTTAATCTGGATAGATCAAAAAGGCTTTAAGGTTCATGCAGACATCACCAACGTCTTGCTTTCACCACCAAGATGTGGATGGTCTTGGTAATCTTTATGTTAAGACAAAGACCTAAATAATTTAGGCAAATTCCATACCATTCATAAAGTATACAAGCCTAGTCTCTCTAAAAAGCTCTTTTTTTTATTTTTTATTTTTGTGGCATTCACTTCCCTTTCAATGTAGAGAGAAAGCAAATGACTCAAAGCCACTTTCTATCTCCTTGTTCTGGGAGAGTAAGGCCTGGCCCTAGAACTCAAAGAGATGATTTTTCATTACCCACTTTAAAAGGCAGTATCCAAAGCTAACAGTACAGCACTTCTCTTAAAACAACCTATAATATTAAAGATATCTATCATAGCCATGAATATATACTTACCCTGCTCCAAATTTGCTGAAATCTCTCTTAGATTGTAGAGTATATACAGTCAAACCAAGAAATACTGCAGTAGTCAGTACAAAAGCTTGCAGAATAATATATACATCATAGAAAGTAACTGTAAAATTAAAAGACTGATTAAAAATGCATATAAGTATACTCAATATAAAACAGTTTTCTAGGATTTAATGGCATTGCTTTATTCTCTCCTGTACTACTTGCCAATAAAAACAATTATGAAAAGATTCCTTATTCAGCCTTGAATATTGGTATAGTAAAACCACATCCATAATGCAATAATAAATAGGCTCCAAAATAGTCATTCATAAAATATGAGGTCATATTATTATGAAGTTAAAGAAACCACTGGAGAACTAAAACACAGCTAACCAGTTAGGAGTTCTGGGGATATGGTGGAATGATTCTCACCCAATCCCTATATCCAGCTGCAGTGTATCACCATTTGTGGTGATTGTCCATTATGGCTGAGATATCAATAGAGATGATTCTGGGTCCTGTGGCTGGCTGGGAATTCCTGGATAGTATGCAGCAATTATAGCAATCATCTAGTTAACTGCACCCAGTTCATCAGCCCAAATCAAAGAAATTGGGCAAGAAAAATACTGGGGCTGTCTGGTGTTGTCTGCCATTCACCAATCCTGCAGTGAATAGAAACCAACCACTATTTGCTTTATATCCAAATCTGCATTATCTTGGGAGTACATTACTGGGGTTTTACTGAATATATATCAAATTCCCTTCCATTATTTTAGAATGACCTTCCGGACTGACTCTGGCTATTATAATACCACTGCTTAACATTTTAAGAGAATGATAAATTATACCTCTTTAAAGGAAGTTAAGTGCTTTGAACCCAAAACCATTTAGGCGATTTTTAAGGGATTAATAATCCAAGATCTTTCTATTCCTAAATGCTACATTTTGGAATTTCTCTATTTATGCCATTACAGGATTGGGAAGGTGAATGCAGAAAAGATATAAACATGATATCACTTTTGCTTATCATCAGTAATTTCAGTATAAGATTAGCTAGAAAAGATAATTAATGAGGAAAATGATGTTCTCAGATTATCCCATGTATGTATTTCTACCTCCAATGCCAATAACCCTGAAATATATCTCTTACATCCCTTACAAACGGTGGAAACAGGGAGGGCAAAGATGGACTTGATAATAACATTAACAGTAATATTAATAAATAATAATACTAACAAGTAAACATCAGTGATACTTCATTCCTATGTTAAGAAATTTCAACCCTATTTATTTTAGTAGCTATTATTATTTATTTATATACTTTTATAAAAGGAAGAGGTGGATTACTGAACAATGCATAGATTCAACAAGAGTGGCACAGAAAGATTTAAAAAGTACTGACAAAATAGAAAGAGATAAATATATTAACCATAAGGATTAACAATTTACTGTTATTGAGAGTAATAGCTAATGCTGACCACCTTTTTGATACCCCAGAGGTTAATCATTTTGAGAAAATCAGAATTTTTATTGTTAATAAACCATGAAATTTTTTACTTGAGGCATTACATAGGGTACATCAAGTAATTACAACAGACACTTCCTTTCGAACATATATTTAACACCAAATACAAAACAGAAATTACCCCTGTTTCTTGTGGGGCCATTTGATAAATATGAGGATATAATAATAAAGCATAGTTCGATGCAGGTGTTCAAGAGACTGAGCTCATGATTCAAGTACATGGCTCAAAACAAAGGTTCTCTAAGATCCATTAAAATTAGGGCAAAGATTAGCTATGGTTGTCTTATTTTTATAGATAAACACAAATGAAAATTGTTTTCCATTCCTATTGTTTTTCTAATTCTTTTCCACTTCTTCTAAACTCAGTTGAATTATGTAAAGTAAAAACATTTAATTTTTGCTTCTATTTTTAGAAATTCTTTATTCTATGCCATATTTTTGAAATATGACATTCCACGATGTTAAGCTTTAGTCCCAAATACCTTTTTACCCAGAATACTTATCCACATTAAAAAGTAACTAACATATAGAAGCATAATTATGACTTACCAGCAAAGGCCACACTCAGAGATTCCAACAGTGTCTAAGAAAAAGAAGTTGAAATTACATAAATGTATATAAAGTTTATACGATGTGTACATGTTGTAATTTCTAGGAGTTCAATGTGATTCCATATGCATGATCTCATTTTAGCTTCAGAGCAGCCTCGTGAAGTATATGGAAAGATAAGCCCACCATGATGAAATGAGACACACCTCAATGTACTGACTGAGAATATTTAGATTCTAATTGTGATCCTATCACTCCTTAACCTCTAACTAGATTTTTCATATCTGTAACAGGAAGATTATAGAAACGATACAGAAAATTCCATTTTTGCACTCTGTAATATAAACAAAAATGAAACTGCAAATCATGTGCACATCTGTAAAAACCTAAATATCTCACGCAAACATAGGAATATTAAATATTTATTTTGAATTGCTAATTATTAGTTTAATGTTAAATATTTAGGTAGTACTTTGGTGTGGCAGAGCCCTGAAACTGTCTCCCAATATTTAATCTCTCTTCCCTAGTAAGAGAATTTTTACCTGGACAAATAACTGCTCAGACTAAACATCACATTTTTTAGTATCTCTTGCAGCTAGATCTGGCCACAGGACTATATTCTAGCCAACAGAATGTGAGTCGAGACATGTACCACCTCTTAAAGCAAAGAGGCGTGCTCTCTCCTTTTCTCTTTTCATTGTTTAAAAATGATTGGATGGAACTGGATATGGTGGTGAGCATCTTACACCACGCAACACTTTAGAAATGTCTGAATCATAGCAGCTGCCTAAGCCCCTGACAACTTCACTATATGGTCATTCATATTTTTTACGTGGAAGAAAAATAAACCATCCTAACTAGAGAACATTATGCTAAGTTAAATAAGTCAGTCAGAGAAAGACAAGTACCATATGATCTCACTTATACGTGGATTCTAAAAAACTGAATAAATGAGAAATGTAAACAGAAATAGTCTCAGAGACACAGGAAAAACTGAGGGTTGCTAGTTGGGAGGGGGTGGGGATGAAGGAGAAGGGGAAAGGATGAGACAATACAAATTCGTAACTACAATATGGCCTTAGGGATAGAAAAGACAGTCTGGGGAATATAATCAATAATGTAAATATTTTTTAGGGGGCCAGATGGACTCATGTCTTGTTGGGGAGACCACTTCATAGTTGGTGTAGAGGCCTTATCACCACACTATATATCTGAAGCTGATGTTAAATAATAATGTATGTCAACTATAATTATATATACACATAGTCACAGGACATGGAGTAGAGAGTGGGAATGGAGTCGATGGAATTGTAATAGATAAGTGTGATATCAGAGGTGGGAGGGCAGTAGATGGGGGAGGAGGGTTGTTACTTTGTGAGAGTGA